GCGTGGTGCGCCCCGGTGGTATAGCCGAGGCGCACGCAGCACGGTGCACCCCGGCAGCATAGCCGAGGTGTATGCAGCATGGTGCGCCCCGACTGTACGGCCGAGGCGGCACCTTGCCGCGCCCCGGTGTTGCCGGGGCGTGATAGGCATATCTTTTTTTTTTTTTTTTTTTTTTTTTTTTTTTTTTTTTTTGCCTAGAGTTAGCCTCAAAACATAGTCCTACGAAACTATGCCATCGGGCTCCCCGTCAGCGTTGGTACGCGAGGTCGGACCTCGTGCCCCCTTAGGGTGCGTCAACCGCTCGGGCTAAGTCCTTCCGGACTACGCCACCCGGCTCTTCCGTCGGGGTTGGTATGCGAGGTTGGACCTCGTGCCCCCTTAGGGTGCGCCTAACCGCTCGGGCCTAGTCCTGTCGGACCAAGCCACCGGGCTCCTCCGTCGGGGTTTGTACACGAGGTTAGGCCTCGTGCCCCGTTAGGGTGCACGCTAGCCGCTCGGGCCAAGTCCTTTCGGGCTGTGCCCCCGGGCTCTTCCGTCGGGGTTAGTACGTGAGGTCGGCCCTCGTGCCCCCTTAGGGTGCGTCCTCCGTCGGGGTTAGTACGCGAGGTCGGACCTCGTTCCCCCTTAGGGTCCGCGAGGGAAAACATGAGTCAGCACTCGTTCCCCTTTGTTTCATGATTTTTTTTTAAAGGAGAAATAATGGATGAAAACCAAAGTTGTGATATTATTGTCGTTCACTAAAACATTATTGGGGAATGGGAATGGTCTTCCTCCTAAAATGGCATTTCAAAGTCCACCTTTCACGCGGCGGGTTTACTGGTAGAACTTCAGCAGGTGTTCTGAGTTCCAGACCCTGGCTATCATCTTCCCTTTGGGGGTCTTGAGCTTGTAACTACCCAGGCGAACCACGGCTGCTACAATGTATGGGCCTTCCCAGTTGGCAGCAAATTTTCCTCCCGCCTGGGGCTGGCTTGCCTCTCTCATCTTGACCACATAGTCTCCCGCTTGGAAGTAGCGGGGCCGTACCCGCTTGTCATGGTAAGCTTTGCTTTGCCTTTGGTAATTCTCAGCTCGGATCGCAGCTGCTTCGAGTCTGTCAGCGATCAGGTGGAGGTCAGTTCTATGGTGTTCCTCATTCGTGTCGATGTTGTAGTCCTCCTCCCGGCGGGAACGTATGACTACCTCTGCTGGGGCTCGAGCTTCGAACCCGTAGGCCAAGGAGAAAGGTGTCTCCCCAGTGGCCCTCCGGGGGGTGGTGCGGTAGGCCCAAAGAATGGCGTCGAGCTCCTCTACCCACGCCCCCCGGGCGGATTCCAGTTTCTTTTTCAGACCTCCCACTATGGTGCGGTTGGCATTCTCTACCTGTCCATTTGCTTGGGGATAGCACACGGCCACCCGACTGTGAGTAATGTGCCATTCTGCACAGAACCCCTTGAACTCTTGCCCCTCGAATTGGCGTCCGTTGTCAGCGATGAGTTGCATCGGGACCCCAAAACGGCACAAAATGTTTTTGTATACAAAGTGCTTGCAATGGGCGCTTGTTATGGTCGCCAGCGGTTCCGCTTCCACCCACTTGGTAAAGTAGTCCACTGCCACTATGAAGTACTTCCTTTTTCCCGACCCCATAGGCAGAGCTCCCACTAGGTCCACTCCCCACCTGGAGAAGGGGATGACCGAGCTGATGGGGGTGTAGCTCGTGGCGGGTCAGCCGAGGTGACCTGGAAATGCTGGCAGGTCTCGCAACCCCTAGCGTAGCCTGCGCACTCCTTGGCCATTTTGGGCCAAAAGTACCCCTGTATGATGGCCCTTCGGGACATGGCGAAGGCCCCTTGGTGGGCGGAGCAGGTCCCCTCGTGGATTTCTTCCATGACCGCCCTGGCTTCGTCCGGGTATAGGCGGCGCAACAAGGCGCCGTTATAGGACCTCTTGTAAAGTGTGTCCCCCATGATTACGTACGTGGGGGCTCGTCGTTTCACCAGTTTGGCATCGGCCTCGTCGGGAGGCAGTGTACCTGTTCTCTTGTATTCCTTGAGGTGGTCCAACCAGCAGGGAGGTCTAGTTTGCACGGGTAGGACCGGGTAGGCGTCCAGGCTCGACCTCTTGAAATCCTCAATTCGGGCTATTTTTGAGATATGTTCCTGGGCCACTTGGGCGAGCTTGGATAAGATGTCAGCGTCTGTGTTCTGGTCCTGAGGCACCTGTAGGACCTCGTAATTGATCAGCTGGCCCAGTAGCTGGAGCACCACGTCCGGGTACCTCCTCATTCTTTCATCACTTGCCTCAAATTCACCTGTGACCTGTCCCACGACGAGTGTAGAGTCACACCGGATTTTGAGCTTTTCCACCTTCATGTTTAGCGCGAGGCGGAGCCCCCCTAGGAGTGCTTCATACTCGGCTTCGTTGTTGGATAACTTGAACGCGAAGCGGAGGGCATAGTAGGCCCGGAACCCCTCCGAGGTTATGAGTACGACTCCACCCCCACAGCTCTTGGCGTTGGAGGACCCGTCCGTTGAGAGGGTCCACCACTCCTCATCATCATCCCGGACCCGCTCTGTGGCCTCCCGGGCGGTACACTCGACTATGAAGTCAGCCAGTGCCTGCCCCTTGATGGTGGGTCTGGGCTTGAATTGGATGTCGAACTGGCTCAGCCACATGGCCCACATGACCAACCTACTGGCCGACCCCGAGGCCCTCAGCACCGCGTCTAGTGGCTGGTTTGTGAGGACCTGTATGGGGTGGGCCTGGAAGTAGTGGTTCAGCTTTTTCGCCGTCGCATCTACCGCAAAGATGGCCTTCTCCACGGGTGTGTACCTGACCTCCGCCCCCCGTAGAGCTCGGCTCGTGTAGTATACGGGCCGCTCGACCCCCTCGTCGTCCCGGACCAGCACGGAACTGACCGCGGCCTGCGAGATGCCCAGGTATAGGTACAGGACCTCCCCCTTAACGGGTTTGGCTAGGGGGGAGTGACATAAGGTACGTCTTGAGGTCCTCGAACGCCTTCTGGCACTCTTCGGACCACTCGAAGCCCCTCGTCTTTTTGAGGACTCCAAAGAACGACAACGATTTCTCGGCCGACCTCGAAAGGAAACGGCCCAGGGCTGCCAACCGGCCGTTGAGGCGCTGGACCTCCCGGAGGGACCTCGGAGGTTCCATGTCCAGGATGGCCTTGACCCTGTCGGGGTTGGGCTCAATGCCCTTCTTCGAGACCATGTACCCAAAAATTTCCCCCCGTGTACCCCGAAGGTACACTTCTTGGGGTTCAACCGTAAATTGAAGCGTTGCATAATCGAAAATACCTCGGTAAGGTCGTCCGTGTGGAGGTCGGTGTCGGTGTTCTTGACGATCATGTCATCAACGTAGGCCTGGAGGTTGCGGCCGAGGACCTGCTTGAACACCTTGGCCACCATTCGGGTGTAGGTGGCGCCTGAATTTTTCAGTCCGAAAGCCATGACCTTGTAGCAATAGACCCCCTCTAGCGTGGTGAAGGCCGTCTTCTCCTCGTCGGCCTCTTCCATGAAAATTTGGTGGTACCCCCGGAACGCATCTAGGAAGCTCATAAGGGCACAACCTGCAGTCTCGTCCACCAGCTGGTCAATGTTGGGGAGGGGGAAGGGGTCCATAGGGCAGGCCTTGTTAAGGTCGGTGTAGTCCACGCACATCCTCCAAGTGGGTGGCTTTGGGGCGAGGACTACGTTGGCTAACCACGTGGGGTATAAGACCTCCCGGATATGGCCGATCTCTAGCAGGGTGTCGACCTCCCTTTTGACGAACTCCCTCCTCTCAGCGGAGAGGTACCTTTTGCGCTGCTGGACTGGCTTGGCCACGGGGTCGACAGCCAGCTTGTGCGTGATCACGTCTCGGCTCAGGCCTGGCATATCCTCGGGGCCCCATGCGAAGACCTCCTTGTAGCTCCTGATGGTGTCGATTATCCGTGCCCGGAGGTCGGCCGGGAGGTCGATCCCTACCTTCATGACCCGGTCAGGTCGGCTGAGGTCGAGGATGACTTCCTCTGTCTCGACCACGGGCTCGGCCCGAGGTCGACCTGCCTCCTCCCGAAACGCCTTCTCAGTAATGGTATGGACCTGGAGGTCCTTCTGACCAATTTGGTGGCACGCCTTCAGGTAGCAGCTGCGGCTCACCTTTTGGACTCCCCGGGCGACCCCAACCCCGGTTGGTGCCAGGAACTTGAGGCATAGGTGCTCCATAGAAATCACACACCTGAGGCCCTCTAGGGCGGGCCGACCGAGAATAATGTTGTGGGCGCAACTGATCTTAACGACTACAAACTCGACCTCCCACCTCCTGGTATGCGGTGGGGTGCCTATCTCCACCTCCAAATTGATCGACCCCTCCATTTCAATTGAATCCCCCGTGAACCCGGACAGGGGGGTCCGTACTTGTTCCAACTGTCCTCTTGAGAGTCGCAGCTGGGTGAACGTGTCGTAGTGCATGACGTTCACCGAGCTATCCGTGTCTACGAGCACCCGGTGCACCACCACGTTATTGATGTCCAGCTTGACCACCAGGGCGTCTCGGTGGGGGAGGGCCCCATCTGGCAGGTCGACGTCGGTGAACGTGATGGGCTCCCTCTTTGGTTTTTTCTCGTGGGGGGTACGTGTGACCTCCCCCACGTACAAGCTCCTCGCCCACCTCTTCCGCTCGGCTGGCGAGTCCCCTCCCTCGGGCCCCCCAAATATGACGTAGATGGTCCGTTTCTTCGGGGGCTGGGAGTCCTCCGTCGTCTTCTCCTCCTCCTCTGAGCTGTGGTCGTAGTGGTCCCTCTTGCGGGGAGCCGAGGTGGATGGCGCTTGGCTACCCCCCTTCCTCCATACGTTGCCTGGCTTCTAGCCCTGCGCCTGCCCTTGTGCCAGCCCCTGCGCCTGGCCGGGCCTCTTAATGAATTGGCCGAGGTAACCCATTTGGATGAGTTCCTCGATTTGTCGCTTCAAGAGGATGCATTCGTCCGTATCGTGCCCCTTCTGCCTGTGGAACCTGAAGTACTAGTTGGGGTCCCCCCTTGCCGATATCTTCATGCACTCCTCCTTCGGGAACACCACGATTCCCTGGTCCTCCGCGTGCGCCAAGATGGTACCCACTGGTTGTGTCAGCGGGGTGAAATAGCGTGTGGGGTTCAGCCTGGGCCCCTCAGCGTACTCACGTCGGTGCGGCCGCGACGCCTTGCGCTCCTCCTGGGGTGCCTTGTCTTTTCGACCTCGTCCTTCCTCCTGCTCCTTCTTCCTCTTCTCGGCAGCCTCGGCGTCAGCGTACCTTGCTGCCTTGTCCATCAGGTCGTTATAGGTCCTGGGGGGGTACCTGATGAGGTCCTGGTGAAAGGCGCCTGACCTCAAGTTGTTTCGAAAAATCACTATGGCCGACTTCCCATCAAGGTCGGCGACCCCCATGGCCTCTTTTTTCCACTTGCTGAGGTACTCGGCGAGTGATTCCGAGCTCCCCTGTTTCAAATCACACAGGTCGGCAATTTGCTTCTTCCGCTGTATGCTGGTGGCGAAATGGGATAGGAACTGCCGGGTGAGGTCCGCGAAGGTGGAGATGGACCCCGCCGGGAGGGACCCGAACCAATCATGCGCCTGCCCGTCCAGGGTGGTGAAGAACCCCCTACATAGGATGGCGTCTGTTGCCTCGGTGATCATCATGGCGACTCTGTACCTGGTCAGGTGTGCCCGCGGGTCTGTGGTCCCCGAGTATGCTTTAATTGTGGGAAAGCAAAAATCTCGAGGTAGGGGCTCCACCATGATGGTGTCCGCGAATGGGGAGGCCAACACGTCCTGGGGCTCCGGAGACCCGTCCCTTTCATTGATCTGCTTCTGGAGCACGTCCATCCTCCTCTACAGCTGCTCGACCTCAGCCCGATGGCTCGGAGCTCGACCCTTCGTTTCACCTGATCGTTCGACCCGGGAGGCCTGCTCACGTCGCGGGTGGAGTCGGGGGACCCGACCTGCTGACCCGTGCGAGGCTGCCTCGTGTCGCGACTGGGCGCGGGGCCCATGGCTCGGCGACCTCCGAGTGACCGATCTCTGTCGCGGCGGCCGGCGGGAGCACGACTCTGCCGCCGGTGGCCCGTTGGTTGGCCTCGGACCCAACCTATCCCGGGCTGTCACGCGATCGCCCAACCTCTCCAGTGCGGGCCTGGTTTGGGTCGACGCCCTTTCATCGTCGTCACGCTGAAAATTTTATACGATTTTTTTTTTAAAGAAAATCAATCCATGCTTTTTATGAATGTTTGTATGTGCTGTTATATATAAATATTTTCTGTATGCACCACCTATTCAAAATGTACAATCTGGTTATTTAGCCATAATAGTTGCATATTTGCATTTTGTCTATGCTTGTGCTTCTTGATTTTTGTAATGTAGAGGTTTGTTTATAAATTATAGTTGTTGGAAACTATCAGCAACACACCTAATAAAATAATGTTGAATAATTAGCTTCACCTCTTCTGTCAAAATCCCCATTAGAGAACTCTACCACTTTTGAATGCAAAAGTTTCATCAGTCTATCATTTTCGTTCCTAGTGAAAGTTTTCTTCTTCAGAAATTGCTCAAGCTCAGAGAATGAATATACTGATTTCTGAATAAAGAGAAATGTTTTCACATATTCTGTATGAATAAATACATGTTTTTTTTAGAAGAAATAAATCATATGTATATGTATTCTGGTATGTTTTTTCGAAACAAAACCATTAATTTTTGGCCGATCTTTCTCTTTGCCGCCCATTATCTTCGCCTTTTCTCTCTGTGCGCCGTTTCTCGATCAAGATTTATGTTAATTTATTAATCAGTAAATGAGATGCCGCCCACTGTTATTCATTTTTATTTGTTGCAGATTGTGCTTAGGAAAAGGTTTTTTTTTTTCCTGCTTTGTTAGCCATGATTTGGGTTTTTTTTGCCACATTAATTCTTTAAATTGATTATTGAATATACTCATAAATTAAAATTGTCACTTTGTGCAATTTATTTGGATCACATATGATTTTATGAATGTATATGAAAGAATATGATGTGTGTTTTGTAGATCATGTCTTCTATTGTAGAAAGAGAATTTAATGAGCTGGCACTTGACGGTAGAAACTATTTGACTTGGGCTTTAGACATCGAGATTCATCTCGCATCTAAAGAACTATGTCAAACCATTGTTGCCAAGTCACAGTGTACTAACACCCAGAAGGCACAGACTCTCATTTTCTTACGTCACTACTTGAACCACGACCTGAAAAATGAATACGTGACTAAAAATGACCATTTTGCATTATGGAAGTCCCTGAAGGACCATTTTGATCAGCAGTCATCTATTGTCCTCCCTCAAGCCCAATTTGACTGGCTTCACCTGAGGTTTTAGGACTATAAGTCAGTTATTGACTACAATTCGGGCCTTCATAAGATAGTCTCGCAACTAAAGCTCTACAATAAGAAGTTTCAGAGACAGAATTAATTGAAAAGGCTCTATCTACCTTTCATTCGAGTAACCTTGTACTCCAGCAAAAGTACATGGCAAAGAATTATGGAAAACACTCTGAGCTGATATGTGCACTTCTTGTGGCCGAGAAGCACAACCAGTTGTTGATGAAAAACCATAATGCATGACCTGCTGGGTCTGCCCCGCGCCTGAAGCACATTATATTGCCCAGGGAAGCAATTCTAGAAGGGGTCGATGAAAGGGTCGTGGTAGAGGTCACGATCGAAACAATCGAAGTGGTAAAGGTAAAGGCAACAATGACTCCCGGGCCCAAGATAAGAAACAGTGTGATCAAGGTTCGTCAAGGTCACAAACTTGTTATTGGTAAGGGTGTACGGGATACTGGTCTCAAACGTGTCGCACACCAAAGCATCTGGTTGAAGCTTACAAAATGGTGTAGAAGAAAAATGATAAGCAACCGTCAGGAAATGAATCTCATCACACCAACACTGATTTGCATGAAGCAAATGCAGTGATTAATGATGATGGTGATCTTTTAAAATATGAGCTTGAAGACTTTGGTGATCAAGAATGATCTGGTTTATGCTCTTGGTTTATGAACATATTTTTCGTATCGTTTCTTTTGGATTATGAACTTATGTTTTTTACATATCATTTTATGACTTGATTTCTATGTTTTGTATTTTATCATGATGAATGGTTCACCTCCTTTTTAACCTTCACATGCTATTTTTTGTGCCAAGGCATTGGTTAATTAGTAACGAACAACCACTGTTCGAGAAGTAACCGCGAAGATCTTACAACATTGCAAAGTTGTTGTTCGCACAATGGAACATGAACCAACATTGTGCTTGGTGGATAGTGCAACCACGCATACTATCCTATTGGATATGAGGTTTTTGCGTACCTTAAACAAATCAAGTAGTAATATTACTACCATTTCTAATGATCGGGTACAAATAGTGGGCTCCGGAAGAGCATCCATCATCCTCCCTAAGGGTACAAAGCTACTAATTGAAAATGCTTCGTGTACCCTCAATCTAAACGAACCTTGCTGAGTTTCGAGGATATTCGTTCAAATAGTTTCCATATTGAAACCATGACTAAGAACAAAGAGGAGTTCTTGATCATGACTAAGTTGATCACTGGTCAAAAGCAGTAGGTTGAGGAACTTCCTCTTTATCCTCTGGGTTATATTATACCTATATACAACCCAATGATTCATTTGTTGCACTAACCATAAAACTCAAAAATCCACATTCTTTTCAAATGTGGCATGACCGTCTGGGTCATCTTGGGCAAAATATGATGGGTCAGATCATATCTAATTCTGATGGACATAACCTGTCGAGATCTCAGGTACTTTCGCCAAATATTTTTACATGTGTGGCTTGTGCGAAAGGTAAATATATTGTACGCCCATCGCGTATTAAGGTTGGACATGAATCGCCTATATTTTTGCAGAGATTGCAGGGCGACATTTGCGGACCTATTAGTCCACCTTCTGGACCATTTAGATATTTTATGGTCCTTATTGATGCTTCCACTCGTTGGACTCGTGTTAGTCTACTGTCCACGAGGAACAAAGCTTTCGCTAAATGTGTTGCGAAAATTATTGAGTTGAATGCCCAATTCTCAGATTATCCCATTAAATCAATAAGAATGGATAACGCTGGAGAATTCACGTCAACAGCTTTCAATGATTATTGTATGGCCTTAGGCATCAAAGTGGAGCATCATGTACCTTATGTCCATACTTAGAATGGCTTGGCCGAGTCCCTAATTAAGCGTATTAAATTAATCGCTACCATTACTGCAGAAGTCCAGTTTACCAGTCTCATGTTAGGGACACGCAGTATTACATGTTGCAGCTTTAATACAAATCCGACCTAGTGCATATCATGATTATTCCCCCTTGCAACTACTACGTGGTGTAGAACCTAACATTTCCCATCTGCGTGTATTTGGGTGTGCAGTTTATACCCCCATACCACCTACAAACCGTACCTCCATAAGCCCGCAGAGAAAACAAGGTATATATGTTGGTTATGAATCTCCCTCCACCATTACCGCGAGGTAAGTGTAACACCCCGTGTTACGAGTCCTAAAACCAATTAGTTAATTAATCAATAGCCCAAGAGAAAGAATAAATTATAATGATTAATTAGGGAAAAAGGCCCACCATAGCCCGTGGGCCCTCATATATAAACCCAACCCCTAAACCCAATCCTTAGTTCCAAAAGGAATAGAATTAGCAAGCCTATAATATTAGTTCCTAATTAGGACTCCTAAATATATAAATAGGGGACTTAAGAAGCACCTAGAACCTCCCCACAAGAATAACGCCCCACCACCCCAAAAGAGCTCCAAGAATCCCCGTAGAAGAAATCAAGAAAGCAAGAAAGCTTAAAGAAAGACCCTTCATATCCAAGGAATTAATTAAGGCTAAGAGGTAACCCATGTCTCAACAAAACCTATTTTCATAGCTATGATTCCCCTTAGGGTTCCCCCCATATTATTGTGTGTTGGCGAGATATAATGATGATTATTGATGTTTGACGTGATGATCCCATGAGGGATCTTGATAATCTTGATATTGGGAGATTCTTGATGATTATATGGAGTTCTTGATGATTATGTGTTGTTCTTGATAATTGTGTAATGCTCTTGATGTTTATGTGTTATTCTTACCGAATCTTGCAATTAGAAGACGAACCGTATTCTTGTTGATATAAAAGTGATTAGAACCCTAGGTTGTATCGTATGATCTTACTCTTGGATTATCGGGTGGGAAAATCGCATGTTTGGGTGTTGATTATATTTAGAAAAGCATGATAGGTTATGTGCCGTTCGTTTCTTGTATTTGATTCGTTAATTGTCTACATGTTGTCGTTAATTGCGTTGTAAAGTGTCTAAGCATGGTTTCGGGTTCCACAACGGTTCCCGGGGCGTAAAGTGTGTGAAAAGAGTCAGTGGGGGGTAGGGGACCCGCCACCTACCCACGGCCGTGAAACACTGCCCGGCAGCGGGTAGCCGGTGGGCGGGCAGCTGCCCGCCGGCGACCCGCTGCCCGGAACAGTAATTCCGGCGGGCAGCCGGCGGGTGGCCCCCACCCACCGGCTACCCGCTGGAAATTTCCCCAATTCGGGATCCCGGCTTCCCCGTTTGATGTTCCCCCGATCCCCGTGGTGTCCCAACGGACTCCGTTCATCGTGCCTATGTCTAGTTTGATATTTCGGGTGCCGTTCGTAGGTTTACGAGTCCATTATATTGCATGCTAGTTGAATTGGTATCCCGTTGACCTAGGTGGTAGAAGTATGAACCCCTTAGGACTATTCCTAGTATGTGATGGGTCACGCATAGGTTTTGTTATACGTTTTCTCCCCCTTCCCAATGTGTAATGTGG